CCTCATGACCCATCCGGTCCCCCTACCCAGCCAGCTCTTGTCTCCATACTAGGCAAAGTGGGCACCAGAAGACCTCCAATCAATGACTTAATCCCACCCCTCCCTGTAGGAATTTTCTTTGTCCTGAGGCTATAAAAATTGGCTGCAAGCCAGGGGATAGGCCAGGGGTTGGCTCTCCCTGGCCTATCAGGATGGCCACCTGCTGTCTTTGCAGTGCCCCTCACCACTTCAGTCCTTTGTTCTCAATACATTCTCTCTCTCCTAAAATACTCAGTGCCTGGAAATTATTTCCCAACCTTCACTTGCCTGCCACAGCAGGTAGAACCCATCCTTACTAACTTCTGGGGTTCATTTTTGATTTCTGGCATTCCTTGGCTTGCAGCTTCATCATCACTCCAATCTTTGGCTCTGTTGTTAGGTGGTGTTTGCTCTTCCCGTCTGTGAAGCCTGGGCCAATTTTCTGGCACTGTGAATGAGAGAGCCTTTCCTCTGTCTTCCAACAATATTTTCCTTAGCCTTTTTTGAGCCCCACTGCAGCATCCTCAAGGCCTTTTGAAGAGTGCAATATTCCCTTCTCCAGGGGATCAGGGCCTTACAGGCCTCTGCTAACATTCTCGGGTAGGATCCTCTCCCACCTTTGGTCTTGGTTCAGTCTCAAAACCTAGGCCTTGTGCTTTAGTTTTGTTATGTTATTATGTTATTAGGACAGATTCCATTAGTTTTGTTATTATGTTATTTTGTTAGGACAGATTTCACTTTCAAGTAACAAAATCTGTTACAATTAACTACTGCAATGTAATAACTGTTACTATGTAATAAACTTTCCCTCCTTTTCCTAGAAGTCAGTTGTAGAAAAGTAACTAAGAAAAAAAGCTATTCAGGAGCTGTAAACTGTGGCTCTGTTGTTGGAGCCTGTGATCAACTACTTGTGGAAGTATAAAAACCCAGAGATGTAAAACAGAAACCATTTGATTATACTCCTGGGTTCCATGGGTCAGGATTTGGAAAGGACATGTGAAGACGGCTTTTCTCTGATGTCTGCAATCTACACTGGGAAACACACAAACCACCTTCAGTAAGAACAGAAGGCTGGAACATAATCTGGGGTTAGGCTCTGGAATCCTCTAAAGGCCCATTTCCTTGCTGGACTGGCAGTTGGTGCCAGCTGCTGGCTGGGCTAGGGCTAGGGCTAGAGTTAGGGTTAGGGTTAGGGACTGTTGGTTACATCCCTGGGGCTGTTGGTCACATCTTATATGTGGTCTCCTTGTGTGGCCGCTTGGGCTTCCTCAGAGCATGGCGGCTGGGATTCAAGGGTAAAGCATTCCAAGAGAGAAGCACGAAGAAGCTGCATTGCTTTTGTGACCTCTCTTAGAGTCACTTTTCCTACAAGTCAGAAGCCAGCTTGAATCCAAAATGAGGAACACGGATATACCTTTAGGGGAAGGATATCAATAGGCAAATATGGTCATTGTCACTACTGAGTTAAAAAATGATATTGTAGCTTCCCACAGACTACAGGCTAAAAGTCAGACTCTGCAGAAAGGTGTAAGGCTTCCATAATTTATTCCTCACATAATGACCAGCACTTCCTCCTACTTTATGATCCCAGGAATAAGCTGTTTAGAGTTCCCAGGATTCAGTCTTTTGCAGGTTTCTGTGGTTTTACACATGCTGTTCTCTTAGCTTGAAATATGTGCCTCTTCTTTGCAGCCTCTCCTTCTCTATTCTTGTGCTTTCTCAAATACTCTTATATGTTACATTTTTTATAGTCAAGTACTAAGTGCTTGGTCATTGCAGTTACTACATACCAATATGCTAAATATTTTACATGCATTACATTAATTATTCTTGAACAATTCCATGAATTAGGTATTGTTATTCCCATTGTCACCCTGCTTATTTAACTTATATGCAGAGTACATCATGAGAAACGCTGGGCTGGAAGAAGCACAAGCTGGAATCAAGATTGCCGGGAGAAATATCAATAACCTCAGATATGCAGATGACAGCACCCTTATGGCAGAAGGTGTAGAAGAACTAAAAAGCCTCTTGATGAAAGTGAAAGAGGAGAGTGAAAAAGTTGACTTAAAGCTCAACATTCAGAAAACTAAGATCATGGCATCTGGTCCCATCACCTCATGGCAAATAGATAGGGAAACAGTGGAAACAGTGTCAGACTTTATTTTTTGGGGCTCCAAAATCACTGCAGATGGTGATTGCAGTCATGAAATTAAAAGAGGCTTACACCTTGGAAGGAAAGTTATGACCAACCTAGACAGCATATTAAAAAGCAGAGACATTACTTTGTCAACAAAGGCCTGTCTAGTCAAGGTTATGGCTTTTCCAGTGGTCATGTATAGATGTGAGAGTTAGACTATAAAGAAAGCTGAGTGCTAAAGAGTTGATGCTTTTGAACTGTGGTGTTGGAGAAGACTCTTGAGAGTCCCTTGGACTGCAAGGAGATCCAACCAGTCCATCCTAAAGGAGATTGGTCCTGGGTGTTCATTAGAAGGACTGATGTTGAAGCTGAAACTCCAATACTTTGGCCACCTGATGTGAAGAGCTGACTCATTTGAAAAGACCCTGATGCTGGGAAAGATTGGGGGCAGGTGGAGAAGGGGACGCCAGAGGATGAGATGGTAGGATGGCATCATCGACTCAATGGACATGGGTTTGGGTGGACTCTGGGAGTTGGTGATGGACAGGGAGGCCTGGTGTGCTGCGGTTCATGGGGTCACAAAGAGTCAGACACGACTCATCGACTGAACTGAACTGATTCCCATTTTTCTGGTTAAGTAAAACAAAGTTAGGAAAGATTATGTAACTTGTTCAATATTAGACATCTAGTAAGTGGCACACCTAGGAGATAGATCCAGGTTTATTTGAGTTTAAAGTCCCTCTAAATACTACTATCCTATACAGACTAAATTTATAATAATTATATCAGTGGTTATTCAGCTTTTTGGTCTCAGGACACTTTTGTGCTCCTAAAAATAATTATACTCCAGATATTTGTTAATGTGAGTTATATTTATTAACATTTACTATACTAAAGATATACCCAAAATGTAAAGTAATATTTTTATTTAAAAATAAAATAAATCCATTGACTGTTATATAAATGACATATTTTTAGTAAATAACTATATTTTCTGAAAACAAAAAATGGTAGAAAAGTGTTATTTTTGCATTACTGCAATTTTTTATGTCTGGCTAAAAGAAGCTGGCTCTGTTCTCCTTACTGCCTCTGCATTCAATTTGATGCTATATGTTGTACTCGCTGAAGTATATAAAGAAAATTCAGCTTCCCACAGACTGTAGCTGGAAAAGGAAAGGGTATTTTAATAGCCTTGTCAGGTAATTGTGTATATTCTGTGAGAGTACAGCAAAACTGGACAACTGGTGGGCATTTAAAATCCAATGGCAGTATGAAATGTGAAATCCTATCTATAGACTTTTTGTACATTTTATGCTCATAAGAGAATGAGAATAGAAAGATAAATAAGCATTTCAGTATTATTATAAAACAACAGTTTGATGCTAACGATCCCTGACATGGTGTGTGGACCCAACACATATGTATCCACACGTGTATATGCCTACATAAGATCTACAGTGAACATTATTTGAGGATAGTCAGGTTCTTTTGCCTTTCCTTGCATACACCTGGAGCTGGTACAGCTGTTTCTCAGCGTGCCCTTCAGGGCTGGGTGTGCTTAGCTCATGTAACTGACCTCTCTGGCCCTGCAAGCCTCCATTCAAGCCTTCACACCCTCAGTGCCTCTCCTGTAATGCATAGGATCTAATTATCTGTTTAATACATGAATGCCTATATTATACAGGATTTACCTTCTAGTTATACAGCATGAATTTTCTAAATTTTAATAACAGTTACTCCAAGAGCAAACTGGACATTTTTGGTTTATTTCATACCATGTGTCATTTATTTGAGAAAGAAGTTTGAGTCTCTGCATATTTTCAGGTAACAAGCTGAATGTAATTTTTTTTCCCAAGTAACATTTATGGATTACTTACTATTACTTATTACTTTCCCAAGTACTTCATATAGCTTAATTTATTCCACAGAACAACTCTATGAGAGATTTTTTTTATTACCCTCATTTTACAGCTGTGGAAACTGAGTCACAGAAAGATAAAGTAAATTGTTCAAGGTAACTCAATTGGTAGGAGGTGGGGTTGAGATACCAACCCAGATTCTCTTGGTTCTAGAATCCTTGTTCTTAAGCACTGCACTACCACTGTCTATTCTGCATTGAACACTGCTTCTTTTTCTTCTTATTTAAACCATTTAATAAAGGGCCCTTTTAAGTCTAAAATTCTGTTTTTATAGATAACTTTCACAAGAGGTCTTTTTAATACCATTTCATGTTTGTTTGTAAAGAAGGATATTAGCAGAAAAATATGTTGGAGAATACAGTACAGAATAGGTTTAATGGTGGTTACATGGTAGACGATTCATGTTAATAGTTACAAGGAAACATGAAAGAGATTACATGTTACTATCAACAGGTCTTGGTCTTAGACGCTAGATGGTAAAAGAAAGGCCATTCCCACTTTAATCCTCCCCAGAGCAAGGCTAGCCCCAGTCACCCACGTGTAATTCAGGCAGAACTCTAGTCATCCCTACGGTGTAGTGGGGAGGGGAGGGCTGCAAGGATTGGATGAAATTAAGCTTGTCAGTGACACCTCAGTAAGTGGTGACTAGCTTAATTTCACATCACGTTGCTAGGATACCGACCACTCTGAGCAGAAGATCACAGCCTTTCGGGTCTTTAAGGGGCTGGGGGAGAGAGGCGAGGAAGCTTGCGCAACTCAAAGGGCGGCTCCAGGTGGGGTCTTCCCGGCACCTCTGCGGCCAGGTGAGGGGCGCCAGAGTAGGGGGCGGGGACAGAGCCGCCTGCGGGCGGCTGCTTCCGGACACGTGGCTGCGCTCGAGCCCAATGGGGGACCTTGACGTCACCCCCGCTTCCTCACCCTGGCAACGGGCGGGCGGCTACTTCCGGTGCTCTGAGGGCTCTGGGCTGATGCGGGTGAGTGTCCCTCCTTCTCACGCTGTCCGCGCGGCTGCGGCCGCCGCCGCGCGCTCGCTCTGCCCCGGCGCCGCGCGCTCTCCAGGACGTGCCCTCTGGGCCAGGGAAGGGCGGCGCGCAGGATGCTCCTAGCCGAGGGCGGTGCCGGAGGACGGGACCCGAGGCGTCCCTCGTCCCCGATCCCTGGTCGCGCGTGGGGCCCGTCCCGGCGCCCGCTCCCGGCTGCTGCGGCCCGGCGGCCTCCTCCCCTCTGCAGGGAAGGGGCCGTCTGTGTCTGGGGAGGGGGTCCTGGCAGTCCCTCACACTCGATGCGGTTTCGGGCTGCGGTTTCTCCGAGTTCCAGGTTCCCGGAGAGCCGGGAGTGTGCGCCCCGGTCCTGCGTGGCCGGTCGGGGCAGAGCAGCCTCGTAGTATGTTGAGCCCCGCGGGAAGTTAGCGTTTACTGCTCAGCTGGAGAAGGGAGAGGAAAGGACCGAGAGGATGGAGCAGGAGTAACCTGAGAGGAGGGTGGGGAACAGGAATTGGAGGTGCCTTGGAAATAGAAGGCATCGTGTTTCCGGGAGGAGGGAGTTCAGCTTCATTCGCCTCTGGAGGGGAGGGGAGGGGAATGCAAAGTATTTTTGGGGACCTTGTGACTGGGATCACTGTACACGAAACTAAGGAATTTTTATACACTTGGGAGTTTAATAATTTGCTTTTGTGTTTGAGTAAAGCTTTCCCCCCCGCACTTATAAAAAAAAGCAGTGCATGCTTATTAACGAATATTTGGAAAATGAAGAAATATTTAAGAAGAGATAATCAGTGATTCCACCAGCCCAGCATTTTGGCCTTTCTACGTTTTAAAAAATTGCAGATTCTTAACCTACATAGGATTATGAAAGTGAAAGTCACTCAGTCCTGTTCGATTCTTTGTAACCCCATGGACTCTACAGTTCATGGAGTTCTCCAGGCCAGAATACTGGAGTGGGTAGCCTTTCCCTTCTCCAGGGGATCTTCCCAACCCAGAGATCGAACCCAGGTCTCCCGCATTGCAGGCGGATTCTTTACCGGCTGAGCCACCAGGGAAGCCCACTAAGGATTTTAGTGTGTACAAAATAGGATTTTAACTAAGAAGCATGTTTTGTACATTGCATCTATTGCATGAATTTTTTGAGATATTCATAAAATTCCACCTTTTAAATTTAAATTTCAGTGGCTTTTAGTATATTCACAAAGTTGTGCACCTGTCATCAGTATCTAATTCCATGACATTTTCATCACCTCCAAAAAATCTCTGTATCCATCACAGTCGCTCCTCATTAGATCTCCTTTCCGCTTGTTCCCCCAGCTTTTGGCAGCCACTAGTCTACTTCGTGTCTGTGGATTTTCCTTTTCTGGACATTTCATGTAAATGGAATCATACAGCATGGGGCTTTCTGTTGTCTTGCCTTCTTTCACTCAGCATAGTGTTTTCAAGGTACACCCTTAACCTTTTTATGGCCGAATAACATTCCATTATATAAATATGCAGCATTTTGTTTATCCATCATCAGTTGATGAACATTTGGATTGTTTCCAGTTCCTGACTGTTATGAATAATTCTGCTATAAACATTCATGTACAAGTTTTTGTGTGAACGTGTGTCTTCAGTTATCTTAGATACATCCCTAGGGATGAAATTGCTGGGTCACGTGGGAACTGTTTACCTTTTTGAGAACTCACAAGTATCTTCCAGAGTGGCCTGCACAAGAGGGATATAAAGATTCTGATTTCTGTTTATCCTTGCTGGCATTTATTCTTTTTGATTATAGCCTTCCGTTGCTTGTGAAATGGCATCTTGTAGTTTTGATTTGCATTTCCTTGATGTCTCATAATGACGAGTATCTTTTCTTTGTGCTTATTGGCCCTTTGTATGTCTTTGGAGAAATGTCCATTCAATTCCTTCACCCATTTTTAAATTGAATTAAATTTTTTTTTAAAGAAAATTTTAAGTTGTATGAGTTCTTTATATAGTCTGGACACAAGTCCCCTTTCAGATTTGCAATATTTCTTCCATTCCCCACCCCTCACTCACCCCTCCGCCATTTTGTGGAGTATCTTTTCACTTTCTTGAATGGTGTTCCTTGAAGTGCAAAAGTTAAAAATGTTGGTGAAGTTCCATTTATCTGTGGGTTTTGTTGTTGTTTGTGCTTTTGGTGTTATGTGTAAAATCATTACTGAGTCCAAGTTCATGAAGGTTTACTCTTTTTTTTTTTTTCCCATAAGAGTTTTATGTAGTTTTAGCTCTTACATTTAGGCCTTGATCTATGTAGAGTTAATTTTTGTATATGGTGTGAGGTAGGAGTCCAGCTTTCTTGTGCATGTGGCTCTCCAGTTTTCCCAGCACCCTTTGTTGAAAAGACTGTCTTTTCCCCATTGAATGACCTTTGGCACCTTTTTAAAATAAAAAACAGTTGACCATAAATACATAGATTCTCTATGTTAGGTATTTAAGACACTCTCAGATTTTTGTTTTTCTTAATTATCCTATGTTAAACACAGCATAAAAGGCATAAAACTTTTTCTATATTTAAAATTATTTTGGTAGAAAATGTTTTCTGAAGTGGAATTACTGGGTCGAAGATGAAATAAGTATGTTTTGGAGCTTATTTAATGAGGCATTACAGCTTCAGTCTCATGATAAGAGCAACAAAACGCTTCATCAGCTGCTGTAGCTTAAGGGCTAGATTTCTCTAAAAGCCTTTGCTGTAAGATGAATGGATTCCATGACTTCCTTCCTCCTTCAACTGCTTCTAAAAGGCTAAGTAAACCTAGAGTGAAAAACTTCAACACCAGAGGCAAACAGGACATATGGTAGTCTTTTAAATAGCTTAAAGAAAAAAAAGAAATAGTGTCATCACATGCCGTAGGAATATGAAACAATATTTGAGAGAAATGGAGTCAAGATTTAGATCTTTAGGCACTGATTTGTGCCATGAAAGTCCCTGAAGCAGAAGCGGTGTTTTATTCTGAGTTTCTTTTCTGGCCTTGATAATCAAGTTAGTTTACATGCATCCTGGTCACCGGGACAGCGAACTTAAATCTTCTCTTTTTAGTAAGTAGTACCCAGTTAAAAAAAAAAAAAGAATACGAAAGGTTATTAGATAGAGAAAAATCAAGTTTCCCTTTCATCCTTGCCCGTCCCTCTTCTCTAGTCTCCCAGTATTCTTTAGAGGATTTGTGGGACTATTATTTGTGTCTGTGTAGGCTAGTTCATATATAAAGTATCTCTGGAGAGGGTGTATACAACATTATACATTTTAAGGCTCTTGATACTTTCTGACAGATTCCTTTTCAAAACGGTTACATCAGTTTATGATGGCAGTACAGTGCTAGTTAGTTTTTTTTTTCTTGTTCTTTTTTTTTTTTTGTATTTCTTTGGGTATTCTTTCTTTAATATTGCCTATCCAGTTTATATTTCCTCTTTTATGTATTGCCTGCTCATGTCTTTTGGCATGCTGTTTGTCCTGATTGGCATTGTCCTTTATGAGATTTACTTTGGCAGCCTTTTGTAGATGATTGTTTTATGACAGCATGGGTTTGGGGAGAAAAGTTAATATGCTTTCTGTAGCACTTAAGCTAAGAGGTATGTGAGCTGAGCAAAGGTCAAGGCAGTGGGAAAAAGGAAGTTAAATGCTTGAGAAGAAATCTATAGGATTTGGAAACTGGGCACAGTCCAAGATGACTATAAGGTGAGTTAGAAAGGATTGGGCTATTAGAAGTAAGGAGTAATGTAGAAAGAATTAGATTTCTGGGGAAAGGTGAATTTGTTTTGGGTAGGCTAAGAGTTTGGAGGATCCAGGTTGAGCTCTCCAGGAGACTTATGGCTAGAGCTTAAGAGAGAGAGTTAGGAATCATCTGGTTTACTGAGAGGATCATTTTGAAAACTCGATACTCAGTGAAGTTGCTGAAGGAGGCATATGAGACTTAAGCCTTTGGGCATTCTGTTTGAAAGTCAAGCAAGAGAACAAAGATGAGAGGGGTCAGAGGGGCCTCAAAGAGCTAGGATAGTAGACTGGCATGCTTGCCAAGGAGAACAGGATATCTAGAGAATCAAAGGTTGCAAGCTGAAGACTGTTCAAAGATGCCATTAAGTTTGGTAACTTGGAGAAGATACATCTTACAGGTAAAGATATAATTTATTGGGAGGAAAAAATACACTCTCCCCACACAACAGTTTTATTAAGATAAAATTCATTTATCATATTATTACCCATGTAAAGTGTACAATTCATTGGTAGTTATTCAGACTAAATACCATGCAGCTGTGACCACAACCAATTTTAAGAACATTTTTATTGCCTCTCCTCCAAAGAAATCCTGCCCCCATTAGCAGTCACTCCTCAATTCCCCTCTGTCCTCCTAGCCCAAGGCAACCACTAATCTACTTCTGTCTTTTTAGATATGCCTACTCTGGATATTTGATATAAATGGAAACATATGTGGCCTTTTGTGTCTTACTTCTTTCATTGTGAAGCATATGTGACCGATTGTGTCTGACTTCTTTCATTGTTTTCATGATTCATTCATGCCATAGTGTGTATCAACCCTTCATTCCTTTTTATGGCTCTATAATGTTCCATTGTCTAAATATACCACACTTTGTTTTTGGGGGGGGGGTGCTTTAAAAATACAAATCTTAGGGTTCTGGATATCAGGAGTAAGAGATGGGTTTCACTGGGCTAAAACCAAGGTGTTTGTAGGATCTTGTTTCTGCTAGAGGCTCTGGGGTAGAATCTGTTCCCTTGCCTTTTCCAGCTTCTGAAGACTGCTCACATTCCCTACCTTCTGGCTCTTTCCTCTATCTTTTCAAAGTCAGCAACACTAGGCTGAGTCCTTCTCACCTGGACAACTCTCTGCTTCTCCCTTTCAGGCCTCCCTCTTCCACTTTTATTTTTAAATTTAAATTATTTATGTATTTATTTTACTTTACAGCATTGTATTGGTTTTGCCATACATTGACTTGAATCTGCCATGGGTGTA